TTTCATTAATCAAAACAGCACTTGAATGAAATCTAGACTGCTTAAGAGCAGGAACATGACTATAGGCTTTATCAGTAGCAATAATATCTAAAATGCTGTATGAAAAGACTAGGATGGGTATCAGAAAAACAGAGTTCAGGGAGGCAAAACTTGTGGGAAGAATGACTCAGCATACTCACCATTTCTGGCTCCTAGAAAGACAAAGTTTCATGAAATTTCCTACAGCTGAAGTCAAATAGGCTCCCAGTTAATCAGCTTTTCTGGTCTGACTCAGCTATGTTTTCCTTATTTCTTGATGTTGGCAAGGAGATAGAGAGGGTGGTGGAGATAAAGAACATAACTTTATTATAAAGTAGTAATATCTCTATTGCAAAATAGCAGATTTGCCATTGAGGTAGCACATCAGTTCTGTGAGAATTTGATTGGTGTGAGCCCAACCAGGACCCTGTGTATCCTTAGAAAGTTCAGTTTCTGGGGCCCAAGCCTGAGGACCAAACTCTAGATGTAATAATTTGTTGACCCATTATCCTTTAAGAGATACAAACTGACATCATCCTAAAATATTTTCATCATTTAACAGTGGAGTTTAAATGCTAAAACAACTGGTTAGTTTGGCCAATTTAATCAATTGACCATTTTGAATAATTTATTTGAGCTAATCAACTGTCATATCAGTAAAAGAAAATGTCAAATCATTTAGCTGAAACTTTCAATGTATGCAAAGTATATGGATAGATTTAAATTTTAAAAACTTTTATATCATTGAGTTTATATAGTATTTAAGATGCTATTTAGTATCCATTTTTTCATTTTCTCATATTTTTATTTTCCCTGTAACCTTTCCCCTACCCTTCCCACTTCCACTACACCTTTAGCCCTTTTCTTCCTATTTCACATTGTCAGTTATACAATTTGGATCTTATCTACACTTTTAATTTTTCACACCAGAGAAACTATTCAGTATTTACACATGTGTCTTTTTTATTTCACATGAGAGTTTGGCCTCAATATGAATCCATTTTCCTATGGATGACTCCAGTTTCTCATTCTTTATGGCTGAGTAGTACTCCACTTTATAGAAAAACCATATCTTCTTTATCCAGTCTCCAACTAGTGGGCAATTGGCAAAGTCTTTGTAAATAGGGAAAGAGAGAAAGGGTGAAGGGAGGGCAGGGATATGGGGGAAAATGACAGCCAGGATCTGTCATGTAAAGGTACAAGATCCCAATGATGAATATAACTTTACTGTATACTTAAAAAGCACCAATAAACTCACTGAAAAAAAGATGTTATTTAGTAGAGCTAGCCTACTGTATATGAGATGCAGGTATGTACATGATGTTCAAGCCTACTGGTGTCTTTGGGGAAAAATAAAAATTGGAACTCTGCTTTCTACTTTTTGTTCTTGGGACCAGATTCAGCTGGAAGCAACTGGGTCTAAGGAATGCATTGACTTTGTCATCCACTGATCTGACTACATGGATTCTACTTTGTTAACTGGTCCTCTTAGTTACTCTGTGAGGCCCAGACAGTTAATTTGATACAAAGAAGCACTCATGTTGGTCACTAAATATGTAGGCTGGCTTTTACAAAAAGGTCAATCTGATTGCTGTTCTGAATAGAAGACCTTGTATTTTTCCATTTGCTTTCACCTTGATAGTTCTGTTTTCATCTTGTTTTCCAATCAAAAATAAAGCATGAAAACACTCTATAGTGAATTATTGACAATACGCAATTTCTTAACTACCTTTCCTTCAATGGCTTCTAGGGGTGGAAAAGTCCAATGGCAATTAAAGTAAGGCTTCCCTGTGGATAAGTGAATTGAAAGAAAATTGATGTGAAGTATGTGTGCGGGCAGATACATGAGTGTTGTATGCATATGTGTGTGCAGACACATGAATGGTATATGTGCACACGTGTGTTGAATTTGGCAGAAACAGAAATGAGGTGCTTGGGGGTGGAAAACATTTAAAAAATGTTATTGAAAAGAGGTTAAAAATTAAGACCCACATATGTTTAATCATTCCATAGCCAGGGAATGTTACCACAGAAAGTTGAGATTATGTATCCCTTCTTTAAAGCCCCATCTGTGTTGGGAGTAGGGTGTGAGAGGAGCAAATAAAGTATTCTGTGAACTTTATATCCTCAGAGCAAAGAATTCCTCTCAAGAACTCCTTTTGTAAAAACCTCCGGTGCTCTAAAATGTACTGTTAAGAAATCTCACAAGAAACAATAGTAACTCATTAGAAAGAAAGTAATTTAATGTGATTTATTATTTTTTAGCTCAGCCAGCCCAGCTGCACTTGTCCTGAAGAACTCCATAATTTATTTAAATGACCCAAAGCCTTTAAAGTTAATTTTCCAGCAAAAACTTACCCTCTGCCCCAAGGAGAGTGAATTTTTTTGTGTTTTGTAGTATTGCTTCTCATGACTAATATTTATTTGACTCTCAAGTATGTTAACATTGTTGGCTTAACTGGGAGTTCTTCACTGAATCAGTAATATGTTGTATTTCTTGTTTGGTGTGTCATCAATACTATTGCTATTCTTTTTTCTCCTTTTTTCCTTATCTGCAATTACAAAATTTTTCTTTGGCTGATGAACTTATGGAAATAATAGAATCAATTTCTTTTCAATCTTCTGGGAGATGTGTGCCTCTTTAAACTTTATTTACAGCAGAATTTAACTATAATGTGGGATGAAATCTCTGGACAAATTCCCAAATTCCTTGCTCCTAGGGAGTGTTCAAGGCTAGGACTCCTGGAGGTGAGCCTTCAGTTTGTTCTCAAGTTTTTATAGCTCACCCTCTGGCTGGTTTTTTTTTTTTTTTTTTTTTTACTTTTTTTTTTTTTTTTTTTTTTTTTTGCAAGGGGTAAGAGAAGACACTAGAAAGAGAGCAGATTGGGAATCTGAGCCATAGTGACCATTCAGGAGGCTCTGACCTGCAAAATTCCTTTGTATGTCACACAAACACTTTAAATGGAGGAGAAACTAGGCTTAAACAAACAGTGAAACCAGTTCCCATTTCAAACTTTCCTGATAAACATATGTATCTATTTTTTTGTTTCCCAAACATTAGTTTTCTATCATGTAGAACAAGTTGCCACCTGAATCTCTCCCATGCATAGGAAACAAGTATTTTGAGATTTTATAAAGTGACATATATATATATATAAAACATTTTGTCAATGTGCAAACTCAGTCTTCCAAAAGGAAATACTATAATGGTTACATACAAGCCTTTGAATCTTTCTGTATTTTTCAGGCAGTGAGACCCTTCTCTTAATGGTCCCTTCTACCTGTGTGCTACAGGATTAACTTTAACATCAGTGGAGAAACAGACTAACATCAAAAATCATCTGTTTTGTTTTATGCCATTTATAATTTTCTCCTGTCGCTCATGTTTACTTCTCCTTCCTGGTTCTTCTGCTAAATGCCTTACTTAGTTGCAGCATGTCCTCCTCCCCTACCTGCACCCTGAAGTACGGAAGGATGCATCTATATTGCTTGCCTAAAAACTACTATGTATAGAAATAATTGGAATTCTTTTGCCCACTTAAGGGTCCCAAGTTCTCTGGTTATCTGAATCAACCACAGAAAACTGTCTAGGTACATATTTCTCTTTATATGGCCTCTATTTTGCTAATAACACTAAGAAAATACTTCTTACATCATAATACTTCAGAAGTTTTATTTCTTCTTTGGTGTCTTTGTAATAGCTTATGGATTTTTCTGGAAGTGCCACATGTTTCCTTCTTACCAGGACAAAAGATAAGATTAAAGGATCAGCTAGTGCTTCCTTCTGTAATACAGAGGCTGTAAGCATGTGCCCTCGTGTTACTTTGTTTCAGCTGAAATTCATATGTTCTCAGTAGCTGTGCTCCTTCAGAAAACTTATTTAAATTCTATGAGCCTTAGTTTTCTGACTTGTCAAAAGGTGACAGTGTTAATAGTTTATAATAGTTTTCTACCATGTGCTAGGCATAATTTTAAGCACTTAAATATATTAGATTATTTAATTTTTGTGAATTCATGGTGTAGGGGACAAACAGTATCCCCATTTCTCAGATGAGAAAACAGACATGAAGAAAGTACCTTGGCCATGAGTAGAGAACAGAAAATGATAGAGCTGGGCTTGTGAATCTGATAGTTGGTTGGATCTCAGAGGCCATATACTCACCAGTATGTTCATTGCCTCTCTATTAAACTATTGAGCATAAGGCACTTAGCACAACAATGTTTGGCACGTAACATTTATCCTTATATAGTATTATCAGTATCATATCATTTCTTGTCTTTCTTCATTTTGTCATCCTTGCTTCTACTAGACTTGTGTAAAATTGCTCAGTCTTATGACCACAGGAGACAAAACAGCACCAACATTGATATAGGCTGAAATAGCCGCTTAATCTTTCTTCACCTTTCATGATTTTTATTTGAGCTACAAATATGACAGAGTCCTAAGAAAGGAGGCACTAAATGTTAATACATCTTTTCCATCACGTAAATATTATATTCCTCTAATCTCCAAACTTCCAGCAAGAAGCCAACAGAAACTGTTTAAAGCGAGCAAAAAATTTTAGAAGTTGTAGGTTTCAAGGTGCTATCATTCTTTAACAAACAAATAAAAGCACCACATGTTGTAAAAGATGTTTGTGAACAAAGACTGCTGCTAGAATAAATTCTCCTGTCTCCGCTCTAGAGCTTGCTATGGAATGTTACTATCAGGGGAAAAGAAAAAAAACTGCAAATAGTTACATTTTATTTTTAAAGTAAGCCACTGACTTCCAAAGTCTCAAACACGTTTGTGGAAACTTCATTTTCTTCTTTGAGATTTATTTGAATGAACAGTTATGATTGGAGACAGTGAGAATTTCAGATTAATGGTTTGCAGCCAAAAAAAAAAAAAAAGCCCTCTGGAAAACTAGCAAGTGTTCATAAGGCAGCCCCAGAATTATGTACGTTGAAGGCTCCCCAGTGGACAGACTGAACTTATAAGAAGGAAACCAGAGATCTAATGCTATTACAGCCTAAAGCCTAAGAGAATGAATAAGCACAGAATTCAAAGCATTCTTCAACCTGAAATTTTAAGGTAAGTCTGAACAACTTATACATACTTGACTTGGAGAGTAGAATAGACATTAAATGAAAAATATTTTTTCGATAAACTTTCCCTTTTTTCTGTGTTTTAACACTATATTCTGCAAAACTCCTAAATTACTTAACTACTGTTTCTCTTACAGGGGTGCATTTAAAAACTAGGCAACCTGTTTTATAACTGCTTTAAACTCCAACTATCAGTAAGTCTTTAGTGAGATTTATTTTTTATTCTTTCATGTAAGTTTGTAAGGTCATACCAAAGAAAAAAAAACTTTAAACAAAAATGATAGTTTGCTTTTTATTAGGAAGTTAATTGGTAATTACATTTTAACTGAACATTTTATTTGCGTGTATTTTGAAACTTAGTTGCCTTTCTCTTAGTGTGTTTATCTTTAGCTAATTTTCTTTTGTTTAAAATAATGTCACTACCATGAAAACCAAACTAATCATGCTTCCAAAACCTGAACACTGATCATGACATTTATGAATAATGACTAGTTCTGTTAAACTGTAAGTAAAGCAAAGGAAAAATGGCAAGACTATACCATGATTGATCATTGATGTTCAATTCTTATTTCACTGAGCAGTCAAACCTATTTCTGCTTGACCCTCCAACAGATTTTGCTGTTTTGTTTTCTTTTTCTTCCTTAATTAAACTGAAAACAGATCTTTTTTTTTACTAAATAGACTAAACTTTAATATTTTTAGTTCAAATTAATATTCTCTGCTAAAAACTGGAACAGAGGGCTTTTTAGAAACAGGTATCACACCATAATTCCTTAACTATATTGTGAAAATAATGGAAAATAGAGATGATTTTTAAGTAGCAAAAGCTGATAATGGTCCTCCATTCCAATATTTTCCTTTGCAATTTTTTTCAGTCATTTGTACACTTGTTTTTTCATAGCTTATATTACTTGTATTTTCTGTAGTTATGATTTGTATATAATTAATTGCTTTGAATAAGTTATTTTTCCATGAAATACCAGACTGTATCAGTGTGATTTCTAGAAAGTATACAGATTGAGATATATAGTTAAGTGTTTTAAAATATTAACTTTTGAGTTTCTTTTTGTTTCATGTATTTATTTTCATGACAAACCTGAAATCTTGACTTTTTAAAAACCATTCAGAAACATGATAAAAGAAGGACAAAAGTTACTTTTATTCAGAATTTTCATTCCCTAAAAGCTGAAATGTCTTACTTCTGCCACTATTAGGACTATTGTTTTTATTTCCAAGAGGTAAAATCCATTCTTACTCCATAGGCATGGTACTATCTCATAGTATTTTCTATATATATTATTTTTGCTTTTGACAAACTTAAAGTGGTAATGACTCAGATATACTGTAAGGTTTGTCTGTCTTCTAAGAGTTCCATTTTTCTCCCCTGCAGAAGGCGTAAGAATCAGGAGTTGTTGAAATTTCATTATGAAGGGCAACTTCACTTTTGCCCCCATCATCCAAAACATTACCAGCAGTCTGCACTTCAGGCCTGTGAATATATCCAGCAGCAACAAGTCCACCTTTAACTGCTCACAAAAACCAATAGATAAGCATTTAGATGTGATTCCTATTCTCTACTATATTATTTTTGCAATTGGATTTCTTGTTAATACTGTTGCAGTTATGCTGTTTTGTTGCCAAAAGGGTCCTAGAAAGGTTTCCAGCATTTACATCTTCAACTTGGCTGTGGCTGACTTACTCCTTTTGGCTACTCTTCCTCTCTGGGCAACCTATTATTCTTACAGATATGACTGGCTCTTTGGACCTGTGATGTGCAAAGTTTTTGGTTCTTTTCTTACCCTGAATATGTTTGCAAGCATTTTTTTTATTACCTGCATGAGCGTTGATAGGTACCAATCTGTCATCTACCCTTTTCTGTCTCAAAGAAGAAACCTGTGGCAAGCATCTTACATAGTTCCTCTTGTTTGGTGTATGGCCTGTCTGTCTTCATTGCCAACGTTTTATTTCCGAGATGTCAGAACAATTGAATACTTAGGAGTAAATGCTTGTATTATGGCTTTCCCACCTGAGAAGTATGCCCAATGGTCAGCGGGGATTGCTTTAATGAAAAATATCCTTGGTTTTATTATTCCTTTAATATTTATAGCAACATGCTACTTTGGAATCAGAAAACACTTACTAATGACCAATAGCTATGGGAAGAACAGAATAACCCGTGACCAAGTCCTGAAGATGGCAGCTGCTGTTGTAGTGGCATTCATCATTTGCTGGCTTCCCTTCCATGTCCTGACTTTCCTGGATGCTCTGACCTGGATGGGTGTCGTTAATAGCTGTGAAGTGATAGCAGTCATTGACTTGGCCCTTCCTTTTGCCATCCTTCTGGGATTTACAAACAGCTGCATTAATCCTTTTCTGTATTGTTTTGTTGGAAACCGCTTCCAACAGAAGCTATGCAGCATGTTTAGGGTTCCAGTTACTTGGCTCCAAGGCAAGAAAGAGAATATGTCTTGCAGAAAGAGCAGTTCTCTTAGAGAAATGGACACATTTGTGTCTTAAACATAAGAATGCAATGCATGCTATCAACATGGCAGCTTGTTGGAGGCCCACCTATATATCTTTAAACAAATTTTGTAAAATAAGATTTTCCCTTTATTTAATCTTTATTCTTCTCAAACAGAAAACAGAGTATAACTGTACATTTTATTCACCAGTGACTCAGAAGTTATCCATTGTTTCTCTGTTATATCAATGCAAGATTGTTGTTTTGAGACATATACATAACCTAGAAGTAATTGAGGATTTATATCAAATTATAATTAATACTAACGTGAATAATGATTTGGGCTTTCAGATTTCTCCTTGAAAAATACTGGCATATCTTAGTGAGGTTTTATATCCATTTTCATCGTGCTGTCTTTTCTCTTGAACAAAGGCCCATTTTAACTTGCTGCATTATTTACAAGGACACATGGTAAGATAAATGAGCACTCTAATATACTGTTGTAAGATGACTATATTATAATACATTGGTATTGGATTATTCAGGCTCTAAGCATATACAGTGCTTTCTACTTTTAAAGAAATTATAAATTCTATTCCTTTTGCAATTCATTTGAACATAGCTTTTTACTTAAGACCTAGTTACATATTCAGTAGGGCTAGGAATAAAGATTAAATCACTTATTCCAATATTTTAGTTTATTTTTTTTACAGTTATACAAAGTAAAATGTATACTAAAACAAAGTTGCTATTAACAAATCATTGCTCACTGAACTCTGAGTAATTACTTTAAAATTTTTGTATCCTTGTTAACTTTTATTTAAAGGTTCCTATATTTTCTGATAAATTCTGAAAATAATGTGCAATAAACACTGTGTATTTATAAAATGCAAAGGTCAGTTTTTACATTTTTGAATGTGGTGCTTGATGTGTAGGACATTGACTTGATTTTAATTATTGAATTTTGGGTTGCTTCCCTAAATATCTGGATAGATTCTTTACCTTGAAATAAATTCTGAACTGGAACAGGAAAAGGTTATGCCAGAATAAAATTGTGACTACTCTTTGGGTGACAAAGTCAGTCAATGACAAGCTTGGTATGAAGCTGGGGACCAGTCAGGTAGGACAGTTCAATGCGGCTTTTAGAATCTAGACACTGGGGGGTATTTTAACCTAAATCTATGTTTACCATTTGTTCCTGAATCTGTAGGATTCTGTAGAGGCATTAGAAACTAATCGATGGTCCTTAGATCTTTTTCTTAACCCTAATTCCTAAATTAGAGGAATATCTGAAACTGACTGAGTTATCTAAACTTGACTTAGATTAGAGTATGAATCTTAATTTTAGAAGTTCACCTTTTTATTCTGTACCAGCCCCATATTAGGCCAAAGTAAGTAGGACTTTCTAGATCAATGGGATGACCTGTGAGGCTGTATTAAAGTTTTTGGGCCTTAACATCTTTGCCACATTCTGGAAATATGAATTGAAGAGTTCTCTCACATCACTTCCTGGGAAAGTCCTACTTTCATATAATCATATTATTTTCAATAAAAATATACAGATAAATGTATAATCAACTATGACTTTTTCACAGTTTTGTAAAACATCTCATATAAATAAAATCTTTAATTGGAAGGTCATGTGTGCTTATTATCTTTTTAATTTTAACTCTTCCTAGTATAGATTTCTAATTTCTCTTGTATTAGCATCCTGAATTCAATTTCCATCAGTACTCCTTAGTTTCAGCTTTCATCATTACTCACCTGGCCCATGCCATATGCAGCTAGCCTCTTTCTAAGAATTCAGCCATAATTCCCTACTAACTGTTAAAACAAAGTCCACATTTCTTATCAGTGTCAGGATGACCTTAGAAGAGCTGACACTTTTCAGGCTCTCTGGCATGTTTTTCTCTGTTATCTTTTCTTTGCATTATATATTCACATGCTACCAAATGATTTTTTTTTCTGTTTTTGAGGCCTAGTGCTTTTTCATGCCTTTCTACTTTTGTTCACACAACTCCTTCTTCCTGAACACCACTCCAATCATTTTTCATGTCCAGGGCCACTCCTATATTTAATGAACACCTACTCAGCTTTCAACATTCAACCATGCTATTTCTTCTATCATAATCATTACTATTATGCTAATTATATATCCCCCCCAACCCTGGGAGTTCCCTTTGTGAGCATTTCTTCTGTAGTTCTTGGGATTTTAAGCTTGCCCGCTACTATCACTTGAGACCTGAGTAGTAGTTTTCCCAGTGTTTTCTCTAATGCAATGCTGAGGAATCATATAACAACAGTAACAGTGATAATGATACCACTAATAGGTATAATGAGGTGAGCATTATGTTCTAGTTACTAAACACTTCATATACATTATCTCATTTTTTCCCTCACAGTGAATTATTTTCATTTTACAAATAGGGAAACCATGGCACAGGTGTGTACCGATTAATCTTTACCTTTGACAGATGACAGATGAACTTGTTAGTCCCAGTAGTAGTATTTAGTACCTTAAATATGAATTCTAGGCTTCACAGTAAGTATTTAAGAGACACTCATATACAGTCTTTCAAACTTCAACCCTAACTTCAGCGATACAAGGGCCTGTAGGCAGGTGGTATATTTGCACTCATGAAGAAAAAGAGAGGAGGTAGACAGATGAGACTTTACAAATCAGATCTACTGTACACAATCCTTTTTTCCTTGAATTTTTGAGGCCTGATGTCAAAATGGGAAGATCTGAAGGTAAGCATATTCTGTTTCTATTTTCTTATTTTCTCCCCCATAGGAATCAGAGAGTGGGAAACCATCTGCTCACTTCATATATCAACAAAAGAAAACTCTAAAGTTGACAAGGTGAATAACACATGAGGTACTTAGAGCAGAAAAAAAAGGGGGGGCAAGGAAATAAGAAAATCGAAACTTATTTTGTTAATTCTCAGATAAACTATATCATCTATGATTATTCACACAAAATAACAAATTAGTAAGCTGTTGCTAAAATTCATCACTTCACCTTTAAAAGACCGGGGATTTAGCTCAGCGGTTCGGTGGCCTGCCTTGCAAGAGCAAGGACCCTAGTTCAATCCCCGGTAACAAAAAAAAAAAACAAAAAAAAGACCAGTAGCCCTGGGCTGAATTGAGAAACTTAATTTCATATATATACTTACAAAGTATTAGCATACTGGGAAAGAAAATTTGTTCTTTTTGAAATTCTTGTTTTTCCAAGATGAGAGAATGCTTTTAAAAATTAGAAGTAATTGGCATGTATTTCTTATTATAGAGTTAATGCTTAAAGTTGAAACTTTTAAATATAGGTAAAAACTAGCCACAGTGATAATGTAGGAAGCACAGGATGAGATTATTATAAATGTAAACATAGATACAGATCCATGTGTACAGAGTCTGCCAAAAATTGTATACACACTTCAGGAGAAGAAAAACTTGTATAAATATTTTAATACAAAATTTATTGACACATCATGAGATTAATACAAATTACTTTTGGCCTCCACAATAGGTGCTCAAAGTGGCTGCCTTTAGCTTCCAGACATATATTAGTATGGCAAACTGCTGCTTGGGTAACCTTAGTCATTCAGATTGCTGCTGCACACAGATTTTCAATTTCTTTTTCAAGGGCCAGCAGTGTAGTTGGTTTTCCGTGATATATGACATTCTCTAGGGCCCCCTGTACAATGGAAACACCATCTGTTGAAAAAACATCATACTATTTTTCTTTTCTTGAAGTGAAAATACGTATTTTGTGGACTCTGTATACACATACATATAATTTACTATTTACAGTGGACCCTTTCAAACTTGATTAGTTTATGAAGACTGGCTATAACTCAAGTAGGTTGTAAGCCAATACAAGTGAGATCTGGATGTTTACCTAGGTATATACTATAGATAAGAAGAGGCAGATGAATCTTCCATTAACCTAATTAACCCAAGGTGTTCATATGTCAGGCTGGTCATAACTTGAGGGTGCACTGTTTGTATATTTTTTGTTTTGTTTTCTCTTCATCCACATCCATTTTTCTTCTTTCTTTATTATCTATCAGCTATGTATGTGCTTCCTCAACCTGTGATACAATTCTTTTAATATTTAAAAGACTTTGACCCTCAGCTCCCACTTGGTTTATTAGAAAATTTTCTTCTCTTATTTAGTTCTCTCGTATGGTAAGTCCAAAATCCTCAGAGTTTAAGCAACGGAAGAGATCACACCTAGTTGTGATTGTCCATTGTTTAGCACTTGTTCTATAAGAGAACACATGGCTCAGTAGTTTGGGGCAGACTCCTGTCCACTTAAGTAGTTTTAAAATAATGCATGCACAGCCACCTGATAAAGGTGTAAGTAAAAGGAAAAGAAAGACCCTTCCTCTAGGGTTACACTCATTCACTTTTAACTGATGCATGCTAGAGTAGAACTGGGCTCAAATACATACTTTTTGTGCACAACCATGGATCCAGGGGCAATCAGCAGACATGCAGCCGGAGTAACATACCATGCCAGAAATCAATCTTCTCCTTTCTTAAATGAACTTTTTCTGTGCATCTGAAGTCACATTTAAAACTCAGTAAAATGCATGTCCCTGTTTGAAAAAGTGGAAGGGTAGTGGTGCTGATTTTGCTTGTTGATGACTCTTCGAGGGACTATCTCTCTATATAAGATACACAGTAAGAACTTTGAACTTCTTGTTCTTCATTCACTTCCTTTCAGAAACTCTCTCCCTTTCTTCCCCCCAGATCCAAACATATTTCATTGTGTACAAGAAACGGTTGGCACAGATCCATTTGGCTGGAAAATTGGAATCATCAGACCATGCCAATCCTCCAAATTTCCAGTTTTGTCATAAAACAATGGATCCCTTGGCACTCTGCATTCATATAACAACAAGGGTCACTGGAAAGATAAATCCCTTAAAAATTTTCTACTCTGATATTTCTCGATGTTGCAACAGCTTAAAATATTGGTGGATAACACATTTGAGATAGTCACTTTTACTATCTCTTAGGAAAAAGTAAAAATTTATCTTCCTGAGTAATCTGTTCATCTGTTACCCTCAAGTAAATTCACGTGTTGAATCTCTAA